AGCAGAATGATGAAAAAGGGGTCCCTATGTCCTCCAGCAGTCTAAGCCTATAGCAGCAGAACTATAGGGATAGATCAGGATAACCTGAGCCACTCTAACTAGAAGCTTTATCAAAAAGGAAAGTTTTAAGCCTAGCCTTAAAAGTAGACAGTTGCGTTTCAACAAAAAGTCTCTCAGGTTCAAATCCCACAAACTGCTCCTTTTTTACGCTGTTTGTATATTTAGGGCTTTCATCTTTTCGCTCGTGTTGGTCCAGCCATCCAGCCAACCTGAAGCCCTCTGCTATTAGTCACATTCTTTTCTAAACTGGGACTTTAAAACTAGAACGACTACAAACTTGATTTTTGTTTATATCAGACCCCTCATTGGTTTTATTATTTGTGTTTTTATAACGTTTCTTATTTAATTACTCCTGTTTCTGTGACTCCGCCATTGCCTGCATATTATTGGACTGTAGAGAGGCAAACAGTAAGCCTCCAGATATAGTATCTAGAATGATCCTTGTTTTAATAAGAAGTTCTGAGGATGGGTAAAAAAAACAACAACTTCTAAACATGTTTAAGTAGCGCCAACTGCAGACATGCTCCTAAACTCAAAATTTGCCCTCTGCTGCCACCTCCAGGTGAATTGCTGCAACAGCAATTCAGCAAAAGCTTGTCTTTATTATAACATCACTCTTTGTGCCTTTTAGGTTCAGCTCAGTCAGATTTAAAGTAAAGAAATGATAAAATGCATATAAAGTCAAACATAATGCCTGATGATATGCATGGACATTTTTTGGAGGCAGTGAAGAGAGTAAAAAGAAAAGATCAGTGCTGGAAAAATAAAATCTTTCTTTTTTCATGTTTATTAAATGCAGAGTTATTGAAATGTTCAGTTAAATAAAATCATTCCAATCATTCTAACTTTGAATGTTAGCTATAAAACATAGAATCTTGACTTAGAATGGCTGTTTGCTATTAGGGTGGCATGTTAGTATCAAGATCAAAGATGAGATGCAAGAAAGAAGCTTCTAAAAAAGTTTTCTGATCAAAATGTCATGTGACCTGCCTGGCTGTGTGTTTCCTGGACGGGGCCGCCTGTGGAGCTGGTTGCCTTTT